CCTCTCTCTGTGTGTCTCTCTCTGTCAAATAAATAAATAACATCTTTTTAAAAAAATTAAATTACTTAAAAAAAAAAGAAAGGAAAATGTATAGTTGAATAAGTTATAAAGGGAAGACCCTCGTTAGCACCCAGGACTAGAAATTAGAACTTGGCCAGTTATTTCAGAAGCCAGCTACATGCCCGATCCTATCACAACTCTCCCTCCTCCCCAAAGTAACCACAGCCCTGACATTTATGGTAATCACTTAGGAGGATTTTATTTTAATGGGACTAAAGGTTTAGCTATAAATAATCACTAATGGTAGAATATTAGGCACTCAAAGGGTGTTTGGGGAGCCATGAGAGGTAGCCAGACCTCAGCACACTTAAAATCGCATCATTTCATACAGTTAGTTCCCCCTATGCCTAGATTAAAACACACCTCACTGGAGAGGATCCACAGAAGTCCAAGTCCAGGGCTGTGCCCTGTGCCCTTAGCTGCCTGACTCCCACCCACTGGGCCAGAAATCTCCATACCCCACAGTCTTTCCAAGGCAGAGCAAAAGTAGGTCCCAGCTCACAGTGTTTGGGAGAGCGCCAGGGACTATTCGTCTCTGCTGCTGACATGTGAGCCCAGGACGTTGCCAAGACTTCCCTGGGTCTTGGTCTCAGTGTGTAGTATGGGGCCATAATGAAGCCTTTTATAATCCCCTATATTCCTCTCCTAACTTGGTCCCCTTTTCCTCAGTCTCGGTTTCTATTACAGCCACCTGTTCATTCACCTTGCAAGAAGCTCATCACCTTTCTTTCCCTCTGGGTGTCTTTCCAATCTTGTGCTCCACTCTTTGCCCTTGATTCTTACAATACCATGAGTCCGCATCATCTCTACACACATCTTTATAAACACACACGTGTGTCCTTGCATATTGGAGGTGCTGACCAAACGTTCCTAGAATGCATACATGTAAAGAAAGAAGAAATGAATTATTTCATGCATTTATGTATGCATTCCTTCAATGTTTAGCGAGTGCCCAAAATATACAGAGATACTAACTAACCCGTCCCTCTACCCTCTAGGATCATTCCTCTCCTCCCTTTCTCCTCATCTTCCTCCTTCCCCGTCCTGGTTCTTTTTTCCTTACCCTGTGCCACAGAGCTAGACTGAGTGCCCTGCAAGGCAGGACACAGAGACACAGAAGCCGGCCAGTGGAACAGACACCCTGGAAAGGAGCCAGATGAAATCAGGGCAAAGACAGCTGTGTGACATGCAGGGAGAAACCGTGCGGAATGAAAAGCAGTGATTCACGGAGCACCGCAACTCAGACACTCCTTGGGTTTCACCGGGAGAGCTACTGCAGGATTGGGGTCAATGAGGGCTGGCATCAAGATGAAGGGCAGCCGGGCTCCTCCTCCTTTAATCCTTGTCTCACCACCCCTCCCCCAAAACTCCTTCCCTTTGACCAGTGTCCTGGGCCTTTAAGAGTTGGAAGAGCTCACACCTCTCCCCTCCCTACTCCTTCCCTTTGGCTGCAAGTCTGCCAGTCACAGCAGCAAACTGCGGTAGAAAAGGGGAGGAAGCCAGTGAGTGAGCAAGCGAGAGAGGAGAGCAAGAGCCCAGCTGGGTTTCCTCGTCCCACAGGAGAGAGCATCGCACAAGCTTACAGACACAGGACCGCTATCCTGCCCACGGTAAGGGCCCGGAGGCTCTGACCAGCCTCTGCCCCAAGCTCTGCCCTGCCTGAGTCCCTAACTCTGTCTGCCAAATGCCTATCCCCCCTGATTAAATTGTACCCCGGACTCCTTAGCCCTAACACGTCTGCAAGGCTCCCACCTCCTGGTTCTCTCTAGCACTTTGATTTGCAGCTTTCCTCCTGGCTGTGGCAGTCACCCCTTACATGGGGACCTCTTAGCTACCACTCAGAAGTGAGCCCCATCCTAGTAAGGGAAGAGAGAGAATTGGAGTAGGATAGATTCATTAGCAGAATGTTGAGGATTACCGAAGACCCAGGGAAGATCATAGAAACAATAGAGTTATGAGATTTCCTTAGAAAGAGCCCCGGTTTGAGCTCTATACTTGTTCTCAGCCTGCTCCATGGGCTAGGGCAGTTTGTTGGCATGCCCAAGGGCTGTGCTGGGAAGAGCACCTGCTTCTAGTCCTGATTTTGCCACTAACCAGCTATGTGACTTTGGACAGCAGCTTCCTGATCTGTGGTAGGAATTTAGGGTTTCCCAGACTTGCTTGTGTAGTAGGGGTTCTTTTTTAAAATAAATATTCCTGAGCTCCATCCTTTTGGGTGGGGCTAAGGAATCGCTATTTGACCTAGGGATATCAGTATAGCCAGGAACCTCTGGATTGGATGAGTTATGAAAGAAAGAGTCGGGGTGCCTGGGTGGCTCAGTCGTTAAACGTCTGCCTTCGGCTCAGGTCATGATCCCAGGGTCCTGGGATCGAGCCCCGCATCGAGCTCCCTGCTCGGCGGGAAGCCTGCTCCTCCCTCTCCCACTCCCCCTGCTTATGTTCCCTCTCTCCCTGTGTCTCTCTCTGTCAAATAAATAAAATCTTAAAGAAAAAGAAAAAGAGTCTTCAAGCTTTAACATTCTGAAGGCTCCCTATGACCAGAGCCATTCTGTCCTCTTTCTATGAGTGAAGTCACCCAATAATCCTGCTCAGAAGCAAGAGAGTAGACAAAATGATTCTCTTTCTTCCTGCCCCTCAGAGAGCTCTGAGACACCCCGAATTTCACTGTAATGCTTTTGGCACCTTTGGCAACTCTGCCAAAGTCCATCTCTTATAGCCACCTGTAAGTTGAGGACCAAATCTTACCGGGCAGCCCTGGCCACTTCCCACCTTATTTTGTGTCTTTATCCTCTCATCGATATTATAGAGGTAATTATCTGTGTCCTCGAGGATCTCCACATTCACATCTAGGTGTGAACAGTGAGGACTCAATCTCTTACTCTGTCTTCATCCTCTGCTCCTCACCTCTTGGTCTTGCTCCCACTCCCAATCCTTTGTTCCTTCTCTCCTCACTGCACCTGCATCAGCTGTGATATCCTTCCCATCCTACCTTCAGAAACCAGAGGCAACACCAAGACCTAGAACACCTGGGTTCCAAGTCGCATTCTCTGAGCAGTGTGTTCAGTCAGTCTCCTAGGATACGGGGGAAGCGAGGCTGAGTGGAAGGGTGTGCTCCTGAGTGTCCTCTTCCCTCCTGGACCCCAGGGTCAAAATCCCCACAGGGGACGAGAACCCGACCTATTGGGAATTAGAGGAGAAAGAAAAAGAGGAAGAGGTGAGGGGAGAAGGGGTGGGGAGAAGGATAAGGAGAGGAGAGCACAGAGAGGTTGGCAAGTGAGCAAGTAGGGAGGCAGAGGGGATCAGGAGAGAAGAGTGAGCTGGGCGAAAGGAGAAGGAAGGCACCAGGATGGGGAGAGGAGAGAAATGGGAAGAAAGAAAAGAAAGGCTATTAAGTGGTACATGGTGGGGCAGAGAATGACAAAAGTGGGGAGACAAAGCATCCATGTCCCTTGTTGCTTCTTAGCCCTGCTCTAACCTGCTTCCAGAGTTTCCTTTTGGAAAGAAAGGGCTTTCCCTTTCTTTTCTTTTTTTTTTTTTAGATTTATTATTTATTTTAGAGAGAGAGAGAGCGGGGGGTGGGGCAGAGGGAGAGGGAGGAGAGGATCTCAAGCAGACTCTGTGCTGAGTGTGGAGCCTGATGCGGGGCTCGATCCCACAACTCTGAGATCATGACCTGAGCCGAAACCAAGAGTTGGACATGCAACTCTTTCTCTGGCACCCCCAGAGAAAACCCTTTCTAAGGGCAGAGCCTTGGTGAGATCTCTGAGCTGGTTACAAGGAACCATGGTTCTGGTCCCACTTCTGCCACATAATTCATTCAATGACTCTGGCAGTTCAGCTAATCTTTCTAGCCCTTCTCTATAAAATGAAGTCCAGCTCTGACATTCTGTGGCTCCCTGAGTTGAAATCGGCCCTCATATGGCCACATGTCACCTGGATCTACGTTTAAAATAGTGAGTCAGGAATGGGAGCAGGATTGGAAGAGCATGCCAAACTCTGGGGTTGGAAGAGTTTGACCAAAATGCATAAAATAATTTTCTAAGGCTTTCTTGAGAGGAGATAGGCTCCAAAACAGGGGTGTCCCAGCACATGTTTCAGGACATGATTGTGAGGCTCCTGGACACAGGTGTAAGGAAAGGGCATTCTGTCGTCTCCCAAGGCCGAGATCCACCCCATCCCAAGGTCCCTATGCCCCAAACATGGGAGCTGAAATTCAAAGAGGAGGTAAGGAAGGATATTGGCAAGGGGGATCAGAACCCCAGCCTTCTCCCTTCCGCTGGAGTCTGGGGACCTGAGACATTTAGGAGGGACTTCTTACTTCACTCTTCAGTTTTTGCGAGTCTTAGATTCCAAGCTGCTTTTTTGCCGCTCATGAAGCACGCTGGGTCCCTTCTTCCATCCAGAGGCTTCTTCTGATCTCACCCAGTCTCACTGTATTCAGCCTCAGCCAGCAAAACCTTTGCTTTTTGGAACTGTTGCAGAGTTCTGTCTCTCCTGAGGGCTGCCTTGAGTTATCTTTCCCACTTAGGTACAGTCTGGCTCCCCAAACTTCCCCTCTCCCTCTGGGGCCCTGCATATTGCTACTCCTTTAGAAAGCCTTCTCTAGGTCCTCCAGTCAGGGGAGCTGTATTTTCAGTGACCTCTACATTTTTCCTAAAGATTTAGTCACACTTGGGTGACTTGATAGGCCCTTCCAGCTAAAGAGAGAGAAGGCACTGAGATGCTATGTGACCTCAGGCAAGTCACAAATCATTTCTGGACTTCTGCTTTTCGTTGATGAGGTCTAGCGAGTTGAACTGCACCATGTTCTAATGGAGCACCAACTGAATGATTGCTTTAGAGATGCTTTTCGTGTTTTAGATGCTCACCATTGTCAAAAACTTAAACTTATCAATTAAAAAACACAGCATTTCTATTCAAGTGCAGTTCCTTTGCTTTTGCAAAGCATTGAGCTCTATGTTTCTTGGGCTTTGCCAGTTCCAGAATGATTTGGTCAAGAGTTGAGAATTTCTTAGAGGGGCTGAGCTAGAATCAATGTGGCTACATATCAAGTCTTCTGGCTTTTTTTTTTAAAGTTATTTATTTATTTATTTATTTATTTATTTATT